TGTTATTATTATCCCCATTTTATAGATGAGAAAACTGAGGCAGATAGAAGTTAAATGACTTGTCCAGGGTCATATAGCCAGTAAGTGGCTGAGATTGGATTTACACTCAGATCTTTTTGATTCCAAATCCAGTGCTTTATCCATTGTGCTACTAAACAACAACAACAAAAGTTTATATAGTTTATTGATACATTTAATTTGTACAAATTAATATAGCAAAATAACAAATAATGACTCTTCCATAAAGCTTGTGACAACATGTGTGTGTGTGTGTGTGTGTGTGTGTGCACTTGTGTGTGTATCCTAGAAATTTAGAGGCATGATTCAGAGAAGCTCAACAGACTTCTCCCACTGGGACATTAGTGTGAGTCTATCAGATTATTACCTAATTATTACCTTGGAAGGCAGAGAAAGCCTAGCTAGCTCTGAGAAGATGAGACAGGTAAAAGAGCTTGATGGAAAAGGCAAGACAAGTATGGCAGCATGCTCTGGGGAGTGGGGTAACAAAAAGAAATTTTAGACACTAGCTGTGTGATCATGGCAGTCACTTACCCTCTAATCTGCTTCCCATTTCCTCATCTGTAAAATAGGGATAATAAAAGTACCTACTTCTCAGGGTTGTTGTGAGGATAGAATGAGGAAGTATTTGTAAAGTGCTTTGCAAATCTTAAAGCACTGTATAAATGCTAGCTGTCATTAAGATGAAACTGTAGCGGGGCAACCCCGAGGAAATTCTGTGCTTTGAGCAGTGGAGAGGGGAAAATAAGAACATGCCCAAAGCTTTCTACTGCTCACCAAGGCTAGCATTCCATTATTTGTGTGTTTGCACATTAATGAGATGAGTCAACTTGCAGGTACTGACTCATTTGTTTACTCTAGCCCCACATATGTACTTGAAGAGCCTCATGTGGTTTGGGAGCAGCTGGTTGCCAATCCCTTCCTGGCTCTGCTCCTGAGAGGCCACGTGCCAGCTCAGCACCCTGGATCCCAAGAACAGCTCTGTTCTCCTCCTACTTTGGCCAAGGACCTTTGTGCTTCATGGGAATGTTGGAAGGATGAATAAATTAAAGTCCTAACACTAACCACATCAATTGTCTCAGCAGAGATGCACTAATACAGAATTTTTTTGTTCTGTCCAACAAAAACTTTCATCTTTTGGGATTTTTCTCTAATGTTTTTTCCCTTTTCCCCATTGCCTACTGAACTCAGTAATTAATAATGCACATAATTTTACATTCTTTTGGCACATCTCTCCCTCTAAAGTTTTTTTTCCCCCTGAAGTTCCAGAATTAGATCACAAGATCACTTGGATTTAGAGCTAGAAGAGACCTTGTTGTTGTTATTGTTGCTGTTGTATTCAGTCACGTCTGATTCTTTGTGACTCCATTATGGGGTTTTCTTAGCAAAGATACTGGAGTGGCTTGCCATTTCTTTCTCCAGTTCATTTTACAGATAAGAAAACTGAGTGAAACAGGGTTAAGTGACTTGCCCAGGGTCACACAGCTAATTTTCTGTGGCCAGATTTGAACTCAGAAAGATGAGTCTTCCTGACTCCAGGCCCAGCGCTCTATCTACCTAGCTGCCCAGAAGGGACCTTAGCTGCTATTTAGTTCAACCACCTCATTCTACAGATGAGAAACTATATAGTTATTGAAATATGAACTATTTTCCTTGCAAATCAGGGATACAACTAAAGTACATTCTCTTTGTTTTTTAACTTGGTGAAGAAACTTTAAGCATATCATGAAACAAATGAACTCATAAAGAAGCACTTTCAGCTTAATCAATCTCAGAGGTTCATATTGTGTTCTGAGTCTCATTCAGATAAAGGAAGGAACATAAAATTATACTTTGCAAACCTTACAGTGCTATTTGAATGCCAATTATTAGTACACAGAAAATTTCAGATTTGAAAAGAACTGAGAGCTTACCTAATTTGAGTTTTCATTTAGTGAATCAGTTTCTGTTTTCTTAACTGATACTTGGTTTAACAAAACAAACAGTAAACAAACAAAATGCAATCTCTGAAAATAGCTCAGCAAAATAACACAAAAAAAGACTGTGAAAAATTTTCTATATTTCTAAATTGCATTTGATATGATAATAAAGAATTTTTGGAAGCAGCATAGCAGAAGATGAACCTTCTTAAATTAATTGGCAGAGAGCAATACATCTAGCACAGAATTATACTTGTTTGTTATGAAGTGCCAACTTCTCCCCTGCATATCAGTATCACAATTAGCAACTGACACCTTCTGGCTGTTTGAATGTGAGCAAAGCTTTGAAAGAGCCTGATCTTCCCTTACCTAGTTTCCTCATCAGTATAAGAATGGTCTCCAAATCTGTTACAGGATAGAAGGGGTGGCTTTCTATTGTCAGTAGAGTAGGACTCCCTTGATTCTGAACTGTGATCCTTAATGAATCACATGTACAGATTTAAGGAAGAGGTTTTCTATTCATTAATGGGAGCAAGACCTTGACTACATCACTGGAAGAGCTTGGGGTTTAGAGGAAATGCTATGTCACCCTCTAAAAAAGGGGCAGAAGGAGTAGCTAGGTGGTACAGTGGATAGAGCACCAGCCCTGGAGTCAGGAGGACCTGAGTTCAAATCTGACCTCAGACCAAACACTTGACACTTACTAGTTGTGTGACCCTGGGCAAGTCACTTAACCCCAATTGCCTAACAATGAAGTAAATAAAAAAAAAGTTAAAAAAATAAAAAAATAAAAAAGGGGCAGAAGCTGAGGTAGAGACATGTTCTAGCAGAAGGACACTGAAATATGAGCATGTGACCTTATTTGTCCAAAGTAGTAAGTAGGTTTCAAACAAGTCTGCAGGAATCTTTGCCTCTGACTTTCCTCTCTGTGTGTCTCTCTCTGTCTCTCTTTTCTCTCTCTGTCTCTCTCTAATAGTAGTTGAAATATGTTTATAATCTCATATCTAGGTAGTTCTTACTTGGCCTAGGAGAGGTATTAGTTGTTAGTTGACTGCTCTCTTTTCCCCAATATTCACCATGTTTTATATTCTTCTTATTATTAGGGATTTTGTTTTCATCAAATAGGAGTATTTGTTTTTCTTGGAGTTTTGCTTTTATGTAGAGCTAGAGATTCCCCCTTAGAAGTTCACATAATTTAGGGATATAGAAATCTATCCTGCCCTACAGGAAAATAGAAGAGGAAGGGGATAAGAGAAGGGGGGTGATAGAAGGGAGGGCAGATTGGGGGAAGGGGTATTCAGAATGCATGTCGGCGTGGGGGGAGGAGAGAGATGGGGAGAAAATTTGGAACTCAAAATCTTGTGGAAGTGAATGTTGAAAACCAAAAACAAATAAATTAATTTTTAAAAAAAGTTCATATACTTGGCAGATCAAATATTCTAGACCTATATTTTCACAATTCATCTGATAATTTTTCCTATAGTTTTATGTGGCTAATAGTCTCCATTAAATCTCTTTTCCTCAAGCAAGAATTTGTATTTTTTTCATGGGATTTAGCACTATGTCCAGTCCTAGAAAATCATAAAAGTACTGTCTCCTCTTGCCTGTCGAAAAAATTTAGGGTGCAAGGAGAATAGATAAAAGTAATGGTGAATATGATAAGTTTTTTCTCCAAAGTCTCCCATGCTTTTAGTAAATACAGTTCTGTCTGTGCTTATAAATAAGTCCTATCTAGGTCCTTTTCAAATTTTCCTTTAACTGCATTTGGTATTACCAAAGAGAAAATAACAGCAATGACAACAACAATAATAATACCCCTTCATTTACCATAACATAAACTTCATAATATAAACATTATTTACCATAATATTTGATGTAGAATACCATAATATTTGATTTAGAATAGCAATTCTCAAACTTTTTGGTCTCAGGACCCCTTTATAGTCTTAAATATTATTAAGGACTCTCCCAGAAAACTTTTTTTTTTTAATGTGGGTTGTATCTATTGACACAACCATATAGTTACCATATTGGAAATGAAAACATCTTAGTACTATTATAAAAATAGTTTTGACCTTGAAGACCCCCTGAAATCATTTTGGGGACTCCTAGGGGGTCTCCAGACCACACTTTGAGAACCACTGATTTAGATCATTTTTTCCAGAAGGCTGTATGTCTGACCTCAGAGCAGTGACTTCACCTGGTAAGAATTCTGATTGGTGGAGAATCTTTTGGGAAACATGAGATTTTAAAAGTGGACACGCTGGATTAGCATTAGGAAAAGCAAGCCATAAACTCTGGTTTATTCAGGAAGATTGAAGGGAAGCACATAGAGTAGTTAGTGTAACCATGGTGTCCTCGAACCTGAGATTCTGGCAGAATCCTAAGAACCCTGAAGCTGAGCTAAGAGGCTTCAGCAGTTCATCATGAGGCAGAGGACACAAAATCCTAAATTTATAACTGATTCTTGTGTTTGGAGGTGATTATGTTTCTCCCTTAGTGTGCTGGGAGGATCAATGTGGATTAAGTGAGGGGGGGAGGAGGGATTAGATTATAATCCCCCTGGAGTGTATGAGAAGTTACATCCATTTGTGTACAGGAGTAGTCAGTCAATAAACATTTATTAAGCACTTATAATGTGCCAGGCACTCTACTAAGTACTGGGGATACAAAGAAATACAAAAGGGAGTCCCTGCCCTCAAAGAGCTCACAGTTTAATGGAGGTGATCACATGAAAACAACTATAGTTTTCTTTTGTTGCTTTCCCAAAATTGCTTTTTTTGTTAGTTAAATGTTTTTGTTAGGGCAGTTAGGTGGCCCAGTAGATAGAATGGCCAGCCTGGAGTCAGAAAGGCTAATCTTCTTGAGTTCAAATCTGGCCTCAGACCCTTACTTAGTTGTGTGACCCTGGAAAAGTCACTTAACCCTATTTGCCCCGGTTCCCTTATCTGTAAAATGAACTGGAGAAGGAAATGGCAAACCATTCCACTCTCTTTGCCAAAAAACTCCAAATGGGGTCAAGAAGAGTCAGATACAATTAAACAACAAAAAAAATGCTTTTATTACTGGACTTGTTTCTAACGTAGATAGAATGCTGCCTCGTTGAGGGCTTGTGTCATGATATACAAACAGCCCACTCTAAACTTTGGAAAAGTAGCAAGAACCTATAGATCCAGAATTCTCAGGGACCTAAGGAGACCAATATTACACAATCATTTCCTTGATTGTTGAATGAATGAATGCCAACAGCTTTTCTTTCCATTGATAAAAATCTCTGCATCTCTGCAAAAATTTTCTTTCTTCATATTTATTTTCTTAGGTTACCAGATTTAATTATCCTCCTATTAAAGATAGATGACATATTAAGATGATATTATTGTCTCACCATCAGTAAGATATGTACTTCATGCGGAGTGGTTATACACTGGGGATCATAGTTCATCCTTATATAGCACTCTAAAGGTTTGAAAATAGCTAGGCTGTAGTCAGGACTTGAGTTCAGATCTAGCTTTGGGCACTTACCAGCTGTAGGAATTTGGGCTGGTTTGCATTAGTTCCTTCAACTGTAAAATGGGGATAATAATATCATCTACCTCACAGGGTTGTTGTGAGGATCAAATGAAATAATATTTGTAAATATTAATATGTGTAAAGTGCTTAGTGTGTCTGGCACATAGCAGGTGCTTAATAAATGCTTCCCTTCCTTTCTCTTTCCCTGTAGCTCAAATAGACTCTAAGAAGCTAAAAATAATAAAAAAACAACAACAACTTTCTTATGGTCATAGAGGAACTGGCACTCTTGACAATTATACCATACTTCTAGGTCTGAGGTGATTCAGTAACAGTCTCTTGTCCATGTCCCTCGGTAAAAGATGGTTAGTTAAGTTTCAGGATGTAGTTTGAGACTATGAAAAATTACAGTCATGCTCCATGACCCTGGCCTAATTAGTATAGTACTTGAAACCAGCCCAAAATAAGTCGGATTTAGCAGAAAGAAAATTCTGTTTTTAATCGAATACACACACAAAAAGGCCCAAGTGCTCCAGGGCCCCACCCTTTAGTTGGGAATAAACTTAAATAAGGCCTGTACTGTGACCTCTCTTTATTTCCTACCTCAATCTTGTCTACCGGCTTTAGTTAATCTGTAATCTCATCTACCTGATGTGCTAGAGACTTTCCACTAAGTATTAGTATAATACTTCATCATGGTATGGGGGTAGCCCAGAGTTCTTGAAGGCTTTGCCATTGGGATATAGACTCAGGTGGATTACAGCATGCTAGAAAAGCTTCAGCTTCAAAGACCACATCTCTTTTATGAGGACTAGACTAGCTGAGAATGGTGATGAAGTTTATGGCAATGTCAACCTTATTGAACCCCCTAACTGGTAGAAAATTCTTCAAATCAGTAAGTTTTGGGGCACTCTAAATGAATACATGAAAAGGCATTTATTAAGCACTTACTATGTGTAAAGCATTGTGCTAAGCATTAGAAGTACAAATAGAAAAGTTAGGTCCCTGCTCTAGGTACTGGTGGTGAGACAACACATTTAGGAGGTTTTTTGGTTTTTTTTCCAGGTCAGATGGAAAAGCCCCAGCAGCAAATCAGAGAGTAATGCATCTTCTTCAGGGCCATTTACCTGAATAAAATCATATCCATTTGACATTTCCAAGGACTTTGATGTTGAGAACAACTAGAGGCAGTTGCCAGGTTGAATCTCCTCAAAGGTTGCCCTTTGAATGATGCCATGGTGAGGGAGCCAGTGAAGGTAGAAGAAGGTAGTCTTGATGGGGATGGGATCTGAATCCCTAAAAGGAAAATACCATGTTTTTGGGATGTGGACCCTAAAAAGGCAAAGCCCTGTACCTTCTCACATGGTCAAGTCTCAGGCTATAATCCACTCAACTGGCCTTTCATTGGGGCTACACCCAGTCTCCCAATTCTATTACCTCTGACCCACCTAGCCTTTAATTGTCTGTTACCTTCCCACCCTAGATACCATCTAGACCCCAAGTATCCTGGTCCTTCTCTGTTACCTCACAGTCACTCCAGTTTACTGGCCATTCCCATCCAGATCCTCCCTAGACCCCTCCTCACAGTTAATCCAGACTATTTAGCCACTCCTAGATCCCTCCCATGATCTTTTTGTATATAAGAGCCATCTTGGCCTCTGTTAAGGTGCTCATATTCTTAAAATCTGGTCAATGGCTGAGATTCAATCTAGCCCACTTGTCAATATGAGTGTCACAAATGTTCAGATACCTTAAGAGTCTAGCCAATATGGTGGACCTTTAATAAACCTTGTCTTTGGCTGAAAGAAGGCTTGGGTCAAATTCATTCAGGCAGGTTCCAGCACTCTTTAGCCTCTAAACCTCAATAGTCTGGGGAGTGTATTATTCCCAGGTTCTTGGGCCTTCTGGTTCATTAGATAGTAATTGGCTGATTTTTGATGGTTGTGGCAAGGATGAAGGGCCTCTTCTCCACAGCAGTTGCTCCCTAGGAAATGGAAGCCTGAGCAAGTTGAAGATAGGGCCTGTGGTCTGAGAACGAACCAGTGAAAAAGCGTTTCTTAAGTGCTTACTACCCTGCCAAGCCCCTGGATACTAATGGCCAAGTGAGGTTGTTGTTAGTGCTTAGTTTTCAAAGATGACCAATGACGTCATGAGGGCATGTCTTGACTTGCACTTGAATTGGTTCTCTAAGCAAAACCTCTAAGCCATTTTTCCATTTAGCAGCAACTTCCTTCTGTTTTCTGGATCCATTTATAGAAAGAATGTCAAGATTGACAAGATTCACTGCCTCCACTAGTATGAATATTCATTGGTCATCTGACAAGGATCTTACATTCAGAGTACCAATAGCTAAGTTAAAGTTTAGAGATGGTCTAATACCGTATGATTTTTCAGCAGTCTGCCCCTCTTTCCACCAGCTCTGCCACTGTGACTGAAGAAATGGAAAGGGACTAACTAGAGCTGAGGGCCATTTTGTATTTTTCTTTGTTTCATGGGCTGACAGGGTCAAAAGATTCATCACCACGTGGCTAGCTTATTGGCTGATGACTTTGTACAAGTCTGCCTCACTTAAATCCAGCTCAGCAGCTCTGTGTTCTCCTGAGCCTTCCATGTCAGCAAATGTTATCTGTAAGGGGAGTTCCAGTGAAGAGCTACCAAGCTGTTTTGCCCTTGACACAATGCCAGAACAGTGATTGTCATTTTCTGGAGAGAGAGAACTGATCCTACAGAAGAATCATTTAGTTACCATTTAGCTCTCTGTGGAAAAAAGTAGGAAGGTTTGGGGAGTTGATTGACTTCTCCCTGGAGAAGGTCCCTGCAGAGGTGTTTTTTCACTTGGGGCAAAAACATTTGAGTATGGAGGAGGGTGGGGAGAGGGAAAGGTAGAACAGTGCTGAAGACAGTTTGGGTAGGGTTAGGGGAGACCAGGCAGTGGATAACAGAGGGAGTTGGACAGCATGTGAAGAGGACAGTCTAACTGTGGGTACAAATTACATTAGGAAAGGAGGCGGTATCATCTCTCATTTCATCCCCCCTCTTCCATGGGACTGAGAACTCTCTCTCTCACTGTCTCCTGGAGCCTATCTTTCCTCCCAGTCCCTGAGAATGTGAGATACTTCAGACCAGGAAGCAAGAGGCCTTGTGACAATCTTTATATTGTGTCTGGGAGGGAGCATGTTTTCCCTCTCCCCCACCGCAACTCCTCATATTGGTGCATGAGAAAAGGCCCAGCTACACACCCTGGTTATATTTCTGGCTTCCTGATCAAAGAAAGGACATGGGGACTCTTCAAGCATTTCCATGATAATATTCAATAACTGCAAAATCATAATCCTCACAAAGGAAAACAGAGGTATTTCCCCTGAAATAGGATCCCCCTCCTTCTCTTAGGTGCATAGATTCCCTCCTCATACACCTTTTCTGCTCATTCCCTCCCTTGTTTATCCCCTCTTGCCAGGGAAACTTTCAGGAGGAGGACAAAATCTGCCATTTGCCCTGGGAAGGTGTTCTCCTGCTGGGAGATTCATGAATATCAGGAAGGGATGTGGAGTAGCAGGCATCAGAAGGAAGTAACATTTACCAAGATGGAAAAAGGCAAAGGTAAGTCGCTATTCCCCGGGGCAGCAAGGGCCTGTCTTTTCTTACTCTGCTGATATTGAGGGCTCCTCCGAGATCAAGGGAGAGGAGAGTCAGCTCTGCTGTGAACATTAATTGGTCAGTTGTATGTGCCCTTGAGAAATGAGGAGCTTCTGGATATGCTTTCTCCCCCCTGCTCTCCAGCAACCCAGCATATAAGAAGACTTGATCACTTTTTAGACAATAAAAATAAGGATCAGATTTGGGGGCCTTTTCCCTTCTGACATTCAAAGGGAACAAATAGCAACTTGTCACCTGGCTTCCCTCTGAGCCGGGGGCTTTAACGACATGAAATGATGGGATCATTGTACCGAAAGGAGGCCTTAGAGAAACTCTTGAGTCCAACCTCCTTATTTGGCAAATTCGAAATTTGAGATCCAGACAGATTAAATGATTTGCTCATTGACCATATCTAGTTAGTAGTAAAGTCTAGACTGGAATCCAGGTATGTCAATGATCATTAAAACTACACTTGAGAAATAGCAGGGAGGATACCCTTTGAATTAATTTATTTTTCAATTATCAAGCATTTACTTTTTCCCTCTCCCACCTAACCCCCAATTGGAAAAAAAAAAAGCATAAACCCTTTTAATAAATATTCATAGTTGAGCAAACTAAGTTCCCATTGGCATTTAACTGGACTCTTGGAACAAAGGTATCCATTTGTGTTATGGAGAGTTAGGGTATTCAGTACTTTCCCTCCTCCCCCACCTCAGCCCCACAATAATGGCCTTGTCCTTTGGCTTCTACTGCCTTGTTAGGTCATGTGGTATAGTGTAAATAGTAAATTTGGAGTCAGAAGACTTTGGTTCTGTTCCTGCCTCTGCTTCTTTCTACCTGTGTGACCTTGGACAAGTTATTTAACCTTCCTGGGCCTTAGTTTCCTCATCAGTAAAATGAAGTTGGATCAGACACCTCTAAGGTTCCTTCCATCTCTAGATCTATGATGCCATGATCTATCTCCATCAGATTTTTTTCAGACTTTTTCTTTCATGATTTCTTTGAGAAAATTTGTGGCTTATTCTTCATCGTGAACCTGAGAAACCTTCCACATCTCTTGAGCTATGCAGCTGTATCTTGACCTGGGATCTTTTTTCTCTGGGGGACAAAGACAGTATTGCCATGTTATAGATGGGGAAACTTGGATGGAAAGAAAAACAAGGACCCATTAAAAGCACAGGTATTTTGAAGATTCAGGTGTCTTCTTATGAATCTCTGTGGTCAGGATACCAATAATTTGTCTCTTTATAATCTAAAACTTTTAATAGTCTTAATAACCTCTGTATTGCATTCACAGAATTATAGAATCTTAGAGCTGGAAGTATACTCAAAAAGCTATTATACTGTGCATATCCTTTGACCCAGTGATACCACTATGAGGCCTATACCCCAAAGATATCAAAGAAAGGGTATGTATAAAAGTATTTAGAGCAGCTTTTTTCATGGTGGCAAAGAAATGGAAACTGAGAGGATGCTCATCAGCTGGGGAATGACTAAACAAGTTCTGGTACATGAATGTGATAGAATAGTAATAGTATATAGAAGAAAGGAATGATTTCAGAGAAACCGGGGAAGATTTGATATAAACTGATACAAAGTAAAGTGAGCAATACCAGGAGAACAATTTTTATAATAACAACAATATCATGAAAATTATTAGCTTTAAAGACTTAGAAACTCACTGGTATACTCTCCATTATCAACAAATTAATTATACTCCATTAACTTTTTAAAAAAGGATTTACTGAGAATGTGTAGTAAGGACAGTTGGTACAAAATACTTCCCCCAAACTGGGGGCACTTTCTCCCCTTGTACACCTAAGAAGGAGGGTAGACTTAAATTTGAATCATAATATTTATGAAGCACACCTGTAGAGAACACATATGGCCACAGGGTGACTCCCAGTTACTGGCTCAGTAAATCTTTTTCTCCCTTTATAGGGTTCTCACGAAGTTCACCTTAGGTGTAGAGTTTTGCTGGGTGGGTTATCCACTGCGGGTCACCTGCTCTCCTGCTGCTAGGCAGGGCTACTCCCCTGCTTAAATGGGCCACTTCTCAGCCGGGTCAGTTGCTCTGCATTGACTCCTCTCCAGGATCAGCTGTGTTGGGGATAGACTGCTCTGCATTCAACCTTCAGTCTCTCCAGACCTTATAATGTTCACCAGGTTACTAGAGCTGCTGCTCAGTTGCCTCCCAACTCCTGTGGCTACTGCTTCTTCCTCCAGTGGACTTTGCTACCAACTCCAATTGCCAGTGGGACCTCTGATGGGATCTCTGGATCTCCCAAACTCATAAGGTCACCTAGGCACTTCCATTTTAGAATACTCATTCCCCTAATATCAGGACAAAATAAACAGAAAAGAAAGAGGTACCATGTTCCATAGACATGTGGTAGCTGACTGGTGGAATGTGGCCAATTGCCCCTTCCCCACTGAGCAGCTCAAAGTAGTGCTCTTCAATTGTAGCTGCTAAGGAAAGAGACTGAGAGATGGGCAAGTCATCTCTTTGGTATGTATACTGGCGTCAGATCATCAACTCATGAGTCATCTGTCAGCCAATTAAAAGACTTTTCATCAAAGTGCAGAATTAACCCCTGAGTCATGGCTTGAAGCAGATTTGTTAAAGTTTCCACATAATAGCTTTGGAAGCAGAGAGAATA